GGGTTTGAACCGCCAGCCGTCTGGTTAGCAGGCAAGTGTCTTAGCTACCATGCTACCAGATGAAATTGACTCAATGGCAACTGTTTGTTATTTTTTCTTTTAGGATGGAAGGGCAGCTTGGAGGGAGGGAGGAGGTGGCCCTTTGAAAAAAATCCTCAGGGTTTTTAGTTGTATCTAGCTGGTAAAGACACCTTCAAACCCAAATATACTCTAATGAGAAAATATTACTTAGTTTTCCTTGTTAAGCAGCATTTTGGCTGATTTGATTTTCTTTGTCAAAAGCACTATATACCCTCGGACCTCTCCCAAATGGATAAAAACAAATCCTGCAGGGATGAATGGTCTTCTGGGTTCAAAATAATGGCAGTAACATTACTATTCTTCAAAATCTCAAAACATGCCAGACACTGTGCCACGTGCTTTACATGTTCTTGTTGTTAGGTGCCATTGAGTCAGTTTTGACTCAAAGTGACCCAATGTACAACAACATATTGAAACATTGCTAGGTCTTCCACCATCCTCACCATCATCGTTATGCGTAAGTCCATCACTGCAGCCACTGTGTCAATCCATCTTGTTGTGTGTCTTCCCTTCCTCAATATTACCATGGATGACATCCTTCTCTAGGCACTGGTCCCTTCTGACATCATGACCAAATTAAGTGAGACCAAGTCTGTCCATTCTGACTTCTAAGGAGCCTTCTGGCTGTACTTCCTCCAAGACAGATTTGTTCATTCTTCTAGCAGTCCACGTTACATTCAGTGTTCTTCACCAATACCACAATTCAAATGCGTCAATTCTGTTGTGGTGTTCCTTATTACTTGTCCAGCTTTTATGTGCATATGAAGTGATTGAAAATACCATGGCTTGGGTCAGGTGCACCTTAGTCATCAAAGTAACAACTTTGCTCTTTAACCCTTGAAAGAGGTCTTTTGAAGCAGATTGGCCCTATACAATAAGTGCTTTGACTTCTTGCCTGTTGCTTCCAAGGGAGTTGATGGGGGATCCAAAGTACAATGAAATCCTTAACAACTTCAATCTTTTCTCCACCTATCATGATGTTTCATATTGGACCAATTGTGAGGATTTATATTTTCTTTATGTTTACATGTAATCCATACTGAAGACTTCATCAGTAAATGTTTCAAATCTTCCTTTTCATCAAGCAAGGTGTGTCATCTGCATATCACAGATTGTTAATGGGTCTTCTTCCCATACTGATGGTGCATTCGTCTTCATCTGGTCCAGCCTCTCAGTATTATTTGCTCAACCTATAGCTTGATTTTAGGAGCTCTGGTAGCATAGTGGCTAAAGCACTTGACTGCTAACCAGAAGGCTGGCGGTTCAAACCCACCAGCCACTCCTCGGAAGGAAGGTTGGGCAATCCTACTTCCGTAGTGATACTGCCTCGGAAACCCAAGGAGGGGTTGCTATGAGTCGGGGCCGACTCGATGGCACATAACAACAACAACAACAACAACAACAGCTTGATTTTTAAACCATACAGTATCCCTTGTTCTCTTTGATTGACTACCTCTTAGTCTATGTACAGGCTTCTCATGACCACAATTAAGTGTTCTGGAATTCCCATTCTCCACAATGTTATCCATAATTTGTTATGATCCACACAGTTGAATGCCATTGCATAGTCTATAACACACAGGTAAATATCTTTCTGGTAATCTTTACTTTTAGCCAACAACCATTTGACATCAGCAATGATATCCCTTGTTCTAGGTCCTCTTCTGAATTACCTTGAATTTCTGGCAGTTCACTGAGTATTGCTG